GTTGCAATACCCAACGTCTTCAATATCATCTTTACAGAAAGCCATTCTATATTTGGGAAGAGTAGAAGCAAGCCACCTTCTTTGGGTCTCCCCTAACTGGTCAATATTCATCTTTGAAATGAGGTTGGAGATGTCTCTTCCAGTCAGTCTACTGTCCACAGCAGTGGCAAGTTTAAGGAAACCTACAGACAGCCTTGCTTGGAGATCTTTGTTGCTGAAATTGACAATGTTCAAGGGTACCTTCCGGTGACAAGGGCGACTCCTGGAGTTCCACCAAGTGCGCATTCTGCTACTTGTAATAAATGATAGTCTAGCAAGGCTTGATGTTGACCATTTGGAGACAGCTATCATGAGCCTTCAAGAACAGTGATGGTGCATGCAGATAAAAGAACAGCCCAATTCCCTGCTCCTTAAACAGTTGGAGGATCCAGTACATGTTGATTCACCCTGAGCTTGTGGAGAAAGGTCAAAGATCCCTGTGTCTGGTCTGCCGACCTCATAAGGCACTGCTTAAAGCAGTCACTATGCATGTTTTCTAAAGATACCTGGATATCTCTTAATAAGTGTGACCCCAACACCTTTGCTATTCTCAACTTCATTACGACTGTTGGAGTATCAGTCGGATTATGAACTATCAGGCACCAGGCTATGAAAGGTTTGACCAACAGCAGATAGGGAGAGCTTGGTATAGCCAATGGTAGGGAAAGTCTGAACTCTGTGAAGCAGAGATCTGCCTGAGGAAAGCGGCATCAATCAGCTCAAACTCCTCAGCAAAGTCATTGGTGAGTGATGGTTGACACCTCTACTCCTATGTCAATTACTCACAGTCTACCTTGCCAAATTTCAGGCTCACTTTAGGGCAAGTCTCTATTGATCTACCTAAGACTGAGCCTCTTCCTGAAGGACAACTGCCACCCTCACTGCCTCTCCACCACCCCACCCAGCTCTCAGGATGCCTAACTGGTTTGATGTTGAGTGAGAAAGGAAGGCTGTTGCACTGAATGGGGCTTCAGTACCTGATGGCAGTGGGAGCCTTGGTTATTGAGGGCAGTTTCATTTGAAGTGCCCAGCCCTGTCTCAAATCCCACACCTCATCGCTTGACCATGAGATTTACTGTGGAGATAAAACATCAAAAACTGGATCTGTCCTTCAGCAGGAGGTCCTGTTATACATGCACAGCATTGTGTCCTGAAATAATTGAACAACAGACAGTTACATCAGGCAACTGATTTGTGCTTGACCATTACTGTGAGCAGAATTTTCCCAGCCATTGGATGATATAGGCAATGGCAAGTCAATTAGGAAAATATGACAAGAATTGCAAATTAGATTCTTGAAATTGAGAAAAAGCAAGATAAGAATTTTGCTATTGGGCAGTGAGAAGCTTACTTGAATGCGTTTACATTCCATTAGTGCCAAATCTTACCTCATTGATATGCTGTTTCTGACTTCACTAATTAGGAAGGATGAGAAAAGAAAATTAAAACCCCTTCAATGATGATACCAAAAGAATTGTCTGAATGGTATAATCCATGAATGTATTAACCAATCTCTGGAAATATGAAAACTTGGCAAATTAAAGGTTATGTTCTCTCATGAGCAGGCTGCCTGCAAAGCAATATTTATAAGCAGAAATGAGGAAGACATGTCTATAGTTAAAGAAATACGTCAGGATGTGTACATGTATAAATAGGATGTGATAAGCTATTATATGAACCAGAAGGAAACAGTGCAACAAAACTTAACATGAGAATTTCACGGAGAAACTTTCCTGTGCAACTTCTCAATAATAGGAAAGGACCAAAGGCCCTTGTGAATAATGATTGTTACAGCCAATTTTTCAGAGCTGAAAATAACCTTTTGTGTAGTTCACAATGGCACATGCACCTGCAAACATAAAACAATGTAATTGTACAAGAGATATAAGCGTTCCAACCAGATGACAAAAGGAGGATCCTGTGATTAAATATTCTGGAAAAACAATCCCTAAAACAATGCCTCATGCATCAAGCAAAGCTGCTTATAATTTGTGGGTAAACATGTCAATAATGGAGTTCAACCTTAGACTTTGTGGACAAAATGTGAAGCACTTCAAGTAGAACATTATTCATACTTCTCTTATACAACGTTGAATGTAAATAGATATAATGAAATACTTATTTTGTGATTGCCTAGAAATATAAGCGTAAGATTAATTAAATACTTACATTAATATCTTGGTCCTGCTAATGTGCTTGCAAGTCCTCAGACCTAGATGTTTATGTGGATATAAATGTTTACAGAAATGTGAAGGTATATCTAAATGTTTCTTAAGAACATAAGAATCTGGCAAAAAGGAGTAGTATTAGGCCAAAAATTCCCATGGTCTGATTTCCCATCCAATATAAGCTGCAACTCCAGTTTTCTGTTTGATTTCCATGTTTCTTAAATTGATTTCTGCCTTGAGTATACTCAATCACTATAGCAAAATTGATCCACCTCCAAGGCTTTCCATTTTTCTGTGTATGCAGACCAGAACAATGCATCGTAATCCAAGTCCTCTACAATTTCGGCAAGACTTTCTTTCTCTTATACTCCCAACTACCATTCCCATTAAAAGCCAAAACATGTTTTGCGTTCCTAATTGATTTCTGTACCAGCATATACCACAAATAAGGACAGCCAAATCTCTCTGTACACCAACATGTAATCATTTTCACCTTTTACAAATATTGTGCTTTTCCATTCTTCCTACAAAAGTGGATAGCTTCACATTCCCCCCATTATATTCTGTCGTCATTTTGCACAACCACTTGGCCTGTTTATTATAACCCTTTGCAGATTCTTCATCCTCCTTAAAATTTACTTTCCCACCTCACTTTGTAGCATCAGCAAACTAGATATATTAACTTGGTTTGTTAATTTAAGTCATTAATATAGGGCGTAAATAGCTGAGGTCAGGTTTACTCCAACTTCTTTTCTATTTTGTCTGGAATAGTTAGTTCCTAACCCAGTTGTCAGCAACCAAATCTCTTAATTCTATTAGATAAAATCCTTTAACGCAATTTGTGTTATTTGTTCATCAACCTTGTTACAAATAATTCATTTATTTAGATACATTCCCTTTATTATTTTTAACCACTTGTCCTTGATTGATCTTATGTACTAATGCACTAATGCTACCAAACTTTCTGGTCAAATAAATGTATTCACGTCATAGCCTGACAAACTTATGTTGATTTCCTGGGGCCACGCACCATACAGTCCACTACCTTCACGGATCTTATTGATGGTAGCCCATTGCTGCCTAGGTAGTGGCTTCAGCACTGCCTGCCTCCTCAGTCTTCTCCCCTTCCGTCGCACCCTGGGAATTGATTTATGACTGTATAGCATCATTAACTACATGAATTTTTTTTTCCCATTTTGCTTCTTTGTGGCCCACTCTACTTGTCTGAAACAAAATTGCTGCACTGTTTTATGGCCTTGGATTTTCTTTTAAGATGCATCATGGTCAAACAGGTTTGAGTGTCAACTTGTAACTTCTTCTATGTACACCAAGGGCAGGCTGTAAAAGTGGGAGAGATTCCAAGTTTGATGGAAAGAAATTCAGCCTCTACCTTCACTGTCCAGAGCTCCGGCATACACATAACAAGTGTACATTGCCACAGTACCTCTGATTTCTCATGGACCAGGGTGCGTGCTAGTTGGCTGGATAGACGGTGTGAATTAAATTGTGGCTAACAGTTCTCAGTCTCATTGGGGTGATTTCAAGACATTCTTCCCTGCCCTACACATTGTGCAGATTGTGATGCTGTGAGTTGGTCTTGCCTTAAAACAGAAAACTAAAGGAGATGGGAAAATACTCAGAAGTATCTCTAAATGCATTTATTTTGCAGCGGTGGATACACTTTTTCACGTGGAAATTGACAACACAATTTTTATGAGGGTTCTAGGGATACTTTATCCACAAAATGTGATTTTTATTGCCTTTTTTAGTACATTTTCAGCATTTTTTGATTACGAATTTGAAGGTAGAATTAATTTTTTTTATCATTTAGATGAAAATAAATGAAATGAACAACTAAAACTTGATTGTGGCTTTTGTATAGCATTAAAAATATTAAAACCTTCAATTACAGAACAATTTGTTACAATGGAACTTTGTGTATTTCTTTGTTCCCAGATCTCAAGTGGAAAAATATCACATTGCTTGTTAAATTGAGGGGCAGGAAGTAATTATGATAATATTTTCAACAATTATTTGGGCCCACTCCTGCTCCATTTAAACACTTCACAAATTATTTTACTTTGTGTGGGATTATTTCTACTCTCACATCCTTTTTCTGTTTTTCGTTAAACGCTGATCTGTGTTTTCCTCCAGATCTCCCAGCCATTCATTTATCTGTTTTCTACGAAGCTGCTGAATGGGTCGATATTTTCTAACGCTTCCTGTTTTTCTGCTAATTCTTCACCAAATGCCAAACTTCATCACGTGCAACTGGTAGTATTTGTCTTCATATCATCAAATAAAGTAATTTTTGCTTTTTTTTTGGTTAGTGCAGATATAATACGATGAGAACCACGCTGAAACATGTCAACGTGTGTGAAAGAAATGTCATGATTCAGACGGATTTCTTTTTCATTCTGACAGATGTACAGTCGCCCGGCGAATCAATTCAAAATCAGAAATAGTTTGCACGTTAAGTAAGTGAGAGAATGGCCTGTTGTTGCCGCTGGGAACGTTTAATGGTAACTACAATTCCTAAATTGTCAAGAGTTGTGTCCTAGTTTCTTTTTGCAACACCATCTTTGAAACATAATTATACATAAATAATTTTACGGAGGTGGCGGGTAGCTTTTGCACAGAAGGGAGAAAATGGCTAAATGGAAAATTGAAAGCTGCTTGGGAAAATAGTTAGGATGTGATGAAGTTAAACTTATTCCGAGCTTTTTGAGTCATTGCTTATTTCGCAAGGGATCCATCTGTTGCCCGAAGCGAGCTGTCAATCATCTTTGGAGCACATCCCCTGCAAGTGTTTGTATTCCCATTGCCTGTATTTCAGTGAATACGGTAAACCCAAAGTAAAACGGAGTCTGTCAGCTGATTGCTTTCCAAAAAGCAGAAAGATGGCGGCAGAAATCCACTCCCGGATGAATACGAGCCGCCCGGTTCTGCTCAACAAAATCGAGGGGCACCAGGACGCAGTGAACGCGGCTGTGCTCATTCCCAAGGAAGATGGGGTGATCACAGTCAGCGAGGACAGGTACAGAGGAGCCCAGTGTTACTCCTGTCTCCTCCCTGGGGAATCACTGACCCTCTTCCCATATGCGACTGGGATAGACAATATTTCTTTGTGTGGCAGATGTTGGAAGCTGCTCCTCTTTGTAAGAGAATTGGATGTGGGTTTCTGTGTGTTTCACTGGCGGGGCATTTCTTGCTGGTAATTGACTCGGTCCCTGTTTGGTCTTCGCTACTTTCGGGCGGGTGCCTTTTAGGTTTGTTTACATGTTGGTTCTCCTCCCTTGGCTCTGTTCTCACAACTAGTGATTTAAAAGCTTTCACATCACCAGACCCTTATGAGTTAGCGTGGATGGGGCGCTTTTGGAAGAAACCGAATTGTAGGGCACGCACACAAAACAAAATGTTCACCTTCCATATTACTTCTGTCTACTGCGTGGGTTTCCATTGGCCCCAATGACTGCCGAGCCTAGAACAGAAACCAAAGTTTGATTAGCGAGATGAGCGAACAAGAAGTCGTCAGAGTCTCAGAGTCCTAGCCGTAAATTTGCAAAGAACATCACATTTCGCAAAAAAAAAACTCACTGTTCCCCCAAAAGGAGAAGTGATTTGAAAAGAACCAGCTACTGTATGTTTTTTACCACTGAGATGGCACAGCAGCAAAAGTTTCTTTTCAGACTTTTATGAAAATGTGGTCCTTTTTTAATCTTGAGGATTAAAACCCCATGGAAACTGGTTGAGGTGGAATTTTACAAAAAAAAAATCCAAGCTTTATATTAATTCTTGGAATGATCTTTTATTTCGGTAGTTACTCCAACGCACACAGTTCTCTTTCACACTCTTTTTGTTTTAATATCGCTTAAATCATCTTTTGAAATGTTTGAGGGGCCACATAGAAATAAAGTAACACTGTCCTCTTGACATTTTGGAAACTGTTCAGTACAGTATGAACTGTTTAAACGTTTGCACCATTTCATTACTGATTAGGATATGTTATATATGTGAAATGTATAGATATCCTAAGTTAAAACGTTAGTTTCCATTTACTCTGATGACACAGTTCTACCGCGCGAACAATTGTTTTGACTCTTCTGCACTCTTTCTTAATTATCAGACTGCTCAGCTAAGATTTGGTATTTGAGAAACAAAAAAAACTTCTAATTAATTGTTTGAAAGACCAAATTCATGGTCTTCAGTCCCTGCTGCAAACTCTGCCCTGTACTCTCCAGCTTTATTTTGACTCTTTTCAAGCTGAAGCAGAATATTCACAACCTTGGAGCCATATTTGACCCTGAGTTGTGCTTCTAACCACTTCTGTACCATCATTAAGACCACCTACGTCTACCTCAGTCAAGTTACCCAACTCCATCTTGCCTCACTTCATCTGCTGCTGAAAATCTAATCCAACCTTTTGTTGCCTCTTGGATTGATTCCCTCACCACATTCTCATATTTTCCACTCTGTAAACTCCCACTGAGTTAAAACTGATATATATCCTAGTGCTCACCAAGTATTGTTCAGCCATCACTCCTGAGCTTACTGACTTGCATTGCTTAATGGTGCATATAAACATACAAGTCAGGAGCAGGAGTATGCCCCATGAACCTGCTCTGTCATTGGACCCAAAACATTAACTCCGATTTCTCTCCACAGATGCTGCCAGACCTGCTGAGCTTTTCTAGCAATTTCTGTTTTTGTTTCTGATTTCCAGCATCTGCAGTTCTTTTGGTTTTTACTTAGTATTTGACCTAATTGTAACCTCAACTCCACAATTCTGCCTGTCCCTGATAAACTTTCACCCTTTGCTTACCAAGAATCCATCCATCTCTGCTTTAAAAATATCCAAAGCCACTGTTTCCACTTTTTTTTTGTGGAAGGATGTTTCAAAGTCTAGTGATCCTTTTTGAGGGGAAAAAAATCACTATCTGTCTTAAATGGGTGTTCACTTATTTTTAAACCCTATTTCTACATTGTCCCACAAGAGAAACATCTTCTCCACACCCACCTTGTCAAAATTCTTTAGGATCTGAATTATTCCATCAAATCATCTTTTATTTTTCTTGATTCTAGTGAATGTAAGTCTAGCCTGTCCAATCTTTGCTCATAAGCCATTGCATAATTCCCCTCATGATAAACAACATCATTGTTAGCTTTCCTACTTACTTGCATGGGCATACTAGATTTTTGCAACTGATGTACTAGGACACTCAAATCCCTCTTCATATCAGAGAACTGGAATCTCTCACCAATTCAATAATATACTCCATTTGTTCTTCCGGCCAAAACAAACAATTTCACATCTTCCCATTGTATTCTATTTGTCAGATGTTTGTCCACTGTCATAACCTAACTATATGCCTTTGTCCTCTCGGCAACTTACTTTCCTTCCTTCGTGTCGTCAGTGAATTTAGCAATTGTGGTTTCAGGCCCTTCAAGCCAGTAACTAAAATAAATTGTAAACAGTTGACGTCTCATTACCCATCCCTGTGCCATATTACTTGTTGCATCTTGCCAACCAGAATAAGTCTCAGTTATACTTACTCTTGCTTCCTGTTAGCTAACCAATCTTCCATTCATGCCAATGTGTTATTTCCTGCACCACAACGTTTTACTTTCTGCAATAACTTTTGTGGGAACTTAACAATTACCTTCTGAAAATCTAAATGCAGGACATCCAATGGTTCCTGTTTATCCACAGAGCACATTACTTCTTCAAAGAACTGAAATAAATTAGTTAAATATGATTTCCCTTTCACAAAATATTGACTTTACCTGACTACCATGAAGTCTTCTAATTGCCTTGCTACAATATATTTAATAATAGCTTCAAACATTTTCCCTATGACAGATATTAAACTAACTAGCCTGCAGTTTTCTCTTTTCTGTTGCTGAACCACCACCACGCCCCTCCCCCACACCCCAAGTAAAGCTTTTCTTCAAAATTTATTTCATTGTTTTCAAATGTTCTCATGGGCTTGCACCTCCTGACCTTTGTGATCTCCACCAGTTCTACATCCCTCTGTGGTATCTAAAC